ATCAAAGCATGCTGATTTGGAAGGATGAAGAGATTGCAGGACAAGAGATAAGACTGGTCCATCAAACCCCAGTCCAATCATTTTGTAGAATAATTTGTATCCAGTGCACCTCAAAGCAGAGAAGAAAGCAAAAGGGAAGCATCTGTTGTGCAGAAGTTTCCAAGACGGACTCAAGGAAGTTTTGGTGGGAGGATAGAAAGGCAGCAGCTTTGCAGGACGCTTTCCTGCACTTAATGTATTTTGTTATTTATCCATTTTCACATTTTCATTTAGCTCACTGCTTTTGCTTATGTGAGAGGAAAAAGAAAAACAAGCCAAATCAATGTTCCAGTGAGAGGAAGGACAACTCTCTGAAAGGACAGGAAATGATGTGTGCTGGTGTCATGCAGGAGTAGTCTGCAACCTCCAGGGCATGCTGTGGTCTGCAGGACAACCTGGGAAACATCCCAGAGACAAAAGTTCTGCTGAAACATCCTGGACAGGATGAAGGAAGGGCTTGAAAGCACTGGGAGACTGAGGAGAGGAAAAGGGCTTTACACCTCATTCCATATAGCATATTCCCATGGGAATTAAAACAGTCCCAACATGTATCTTCCAGTCCAGTGGGGAAAATTCTGTATTCAAACAGAATCCCTTGGTGGAAGAAGCTCTAGAATGTTTGTCTTCTTTGGATATTCACAGAAAAGTCATTAAGGATCATTAAGCAGAGTTGAGCCCAACCCAGTTTGGGGCATGTATCATTCTGCTTTACTGGAATTTTGGCATTTGCTGGAATCCCGGTTCTGTGAGTGCTTTCCCTTCCACCTCTGCCCACATTTTTGTACAAATAAACTGATGTGGAGTTCTCCAGAATCTGGAAAAGGCCCAGATGGAGAGACCAGAAACTGAAACCTGTATTTTATGTTAGCAGTGTCAGAGTTCTGCATTCCAGGGATTTGGGAAAGATCCTAAGAGCAAACATCCCAAACTCAGAAGGAAGTTTAGCACTAAATGCAAAAGAAATCCAAATATATTGAAGAATGGAAACTAAAACAACTTCAGCTTTGCCCTGCAGTGACCCCATGCAGTAAGAATACAATTACGATTAGATCACAGGAACAGTTGGAGCCCTAGATAAGAATAAACCAAGTTTTGAAGGCCTCCAGACATACTGCATTGATTTGCCTATTTTCTCCCAGTGTAGTGCCAGAATAATACAGAGTTCCTTAAAGAATCAATTAAAAACTGAGTGTCAACTCAGAAATTGCCTGATTTACTTGTAAATTGGTGGAAAACAACACCACTACTTAAGGCTGTCATTTTGCTGCCTCCCTCCATAGCAGCACATGGAAGACTGGGGGGGATGATAACAAAATCTCCCTCTGTAGGATTAAATGTTTGGTGACAACAATGTCCTCTTCAGCACATATGGCTTGGACCACCTCCAAGCAAACCCCTTCCACCACCTGAGTGTCTGAGCATGTTTCCTTTGTTCTTTTCTGCGCTCTTCTTCCTCATGCATAACTGAGAGGTCTCCCATTCCTTCCTGGAAAAATACCTCTGTGCATCTTAGGGGAATGACTGCACTATGACCTTGAATGTCTTCACATCAAAACTGAACTTTTTAGGTAACGCAACTCTGCATTCATGCCATTTTTTTCCCTCTACACTTGTAAAGAGGCTTCCTCTGTGCACTGGATACCTTGCCTGCAAATCTCTGTCCCAGGTTTTCCCTTGTATGAGCACAATTCAGCAGCACCATGGCTCAGTACACTAACAAGATCCCAAGTCCTGAAAACCGAGTACCACAAAGAACTGACTTAAGTTTGCATTAAAGGCAACTTGTGTCATGGGACAGAAGTTTGGAAGTATTTTGTGTCTGTAAAGTGACTAAAAAGGACAACTGGATTTAGACCAGTGGAACGTTATTTACTCATCTCACCAAAATGTGCAGTTAGTTATTATACATTAAAGTTTTATAAAGAACAAAAAGCTTGTGAAGCTGGATAGCACACAGTTTAGCGCCATGGCACAAAAACGGCAGCAGTTTCTCCAAAGCAAAGGCAAATAAGTGTATTTTTAAGTCCCATTTGAAATGCTACGCTTATTTGAAAGATTGGTGGCCAAGTGCATGAAAGATGTTGAGTGGCTTTGTGCAGACAGCTGCACCAGCTGGCAATTGCAGGACATACTGTAGTGCCTTCATGTGGTGATCACAGCCTGCAAAGCCAGACTTTTCCCCAAATACCATTCATTTTGGAAAACTGCCCGTGCTGTGTTTATGAGTTCCCTAGTGAAACCTTCCCCAGGTCAATCGCTGTCCCACATCCTGAATATGCAGAGAAGAGAAAAAGAGAGCATGTTCTGGGCACAAGAAAACCAAAGAAGACAGCGGCACTTTTTCACAAGATTTTTGAAGCCTTACATTCCTCAGACATCGGCTTTTTGGTAAAATCAGAGGCAGGGCCATCCTGTAAAGGACCGTCATAAAACACCTTCTGACTTTCTGTGGTATGTCTTGAATGGGGAATGGTCATTCCTTCCATCTCCTTACTAGCTGGATGTGACACATCCTACAAACTGTTTTCCCTAGAAGAAAGGCAATAAAAAGTACTTGGCTGGATAAGCAAATCAGTCTGTTAGTGTGTCCCCAGAATCTGCTCCAATCTTCTGACTCATTAAGGCTCCATCATTCAGGAATCACCATAAAAATATTGAAGTCATTGAAGGGAGGAGGATGTACACTTGGACTGATGCAAGCCAGAGCCAGTTTGCAAAATCCTTGCTGAATGACATCATGGCATAGCCCTCCTCCATGTGATTTATTTTGAGGACTGTCTCTTCTTGGGCATACTAAACAGCACAAATGTCCTTTCCCACAAGAAACTCTGCATTCAGGACCAGGCCAACACAATCTCACTTGCTCCAGGTGCCACCAGAGTTGAGACAGCTTTCTCTTCCACAGCACCAGCAAGGACAGCCTCCAAGTGTGACTTTGCCTTTGGTGCCTCACTCAGTGAGTTTTGTGCCCAAGCTCAGCTCAGCATCCAGTGGGCTGCTCGTGAGGAAGAGGAGCAGTGAGTGTGAGCACCTTGCAGTGGGTGCTCAGGGACCACTTGTTGTGACTTGTTGCTGGTAAAAGGCTCCCTAGCAATATGACTACAAAGGTGATTTGACTATTTATTTTCATGCCCAGGGTCTCAGAGTGAGATCCTGCCAGCTTTGCAAAAGAGACCAAACACCAGCAATACCCAGGACTAATTGACAGTAAATATTTATAACAGCTAGTATGCTGATAATAATAATAAACTTTAGGGATGAAACAATCTGTATGGTATTGCTGCTGATGGAGGGGGGCACAAAGGAGAGGTCATTTGCAAGGTCTCGGTGCAGCTCTACCCAATGGCAATGGAAGCAATCCCAGTAAGCGAGGAGTGTAGGAGTGTCCTTTCATTGTAATAGCAGCATAAAGGGTTGTTTACTAGCGGCTTGATAGTAATTAAAAAGCTATTGGCCCCGTTTAGTTTAGGATTAATTTCCGTGCTTGCATTTCTAACTAAAGGCGATAAGTGCTTGAAAGGTACTTGTCATAAAAAATAGAAGTTTGTCTGGCACAGACAAATCTCAGCTGCAGCCTAATTGTGAACATTTCCAGCACATGGGAAAAACCAGGCAAAGGGAAGATAAGCAGCTCAGTGAGTGTGAAAGCCAGGCTTGTGGGAATGTCCATAGAAATGCTTGCTAAATAAGGGGAAACCAGGGCTGCACTCACAGACCCTCTCGGCAGCAGACTTCACTACGGAGTTTCAAGTGAACGCTCCCATTATATTCTCCTTATGTAACAACAAGGGAAAGCATTTTCATTCATGAATGGAAATGCTTATGACATTTGTGGTCTAGTAATTTCCCTTCATGATCATCTGTCATCGTATCTCTGGAAATCTGACAATTTCAGTCATATTCCTGATATTATGTTCAGCTCTTTCTGTATAATTTCACTTCACCTGCTCTGCTGTTTTTTCCAGTCTATCAACCATCTGAAAAATGAGAAAGGTTTACCTGGCACTTTGCAGTGTGAGCATGAATACCACGTTTTAACACCTGAAAGCACATGAACCGATGTACAGATGTGATTCTCTAGCGTTTAAAGAAAAATCTCATGTTAAACTGTACGGCCCCAAACCAACAAGATTTCAAGCCAAGGCTACAAGAGGATGATTATGCGGTGTGTTTTTTTTTTTGTGTGTGTGTGTGTGCGTTCTGTTTAACAAAACACTGAAGTGGAGAAAGCCTTTCTGCCAAGGGTATGCTTTGCTTTTTTTTTGCCAGTGCCCAGCTCAAAGAGCTAACGTGCTTCCCTGTGAGTTTGAAGGAGAGAGATTACTTCTGTGCTTTGGAAATAGTCACAATAGTGCACAGCTGTTTTCACTGGGGTCGACTTCCACCACGCTGTAATGACAGTTCAAGCCATACCAAAAATCCTCGCACAGGATGTAATCAACCTCAAATCTGGAGAGAAACATTGAGAAACTGCCTCTGAGTGCCAAGAAAAACAGCAGCCGTTTACAACATGCTTTTCCTAATGTCCACTCAGCTCAACCCACACATCAAACTGGACGTCTCAAAGCGAAAGTAGGGCAGACCAGAGGAGAAAAGCCCCTTGACTATTGTGAAGAATTTTCTAAGCAGTAACACTGCAGGGCTCAGGCACTGGGAGCCACCTCTGATCCCTCCTACCCCTTCATTGAAGCTCTAGCATGGGGTGTCCTGAAAGACCACATCAAGAGTGTTAAAATGCTTGTTTTCCAAGAATTTTTTTTCTTGCCTCTTTCAGACACTTGGAAAGTTTCTGTCCCTCCAACAGCAAAGCTGCTACACGTCGCGTTCCGCGCTCGGAGCTTAACTGTCTATGCTGCTACAGGAGCCAGCCCACAGCACCAGATTTACGGGTTTTCTCAGGATGCCGCGTTAACCAAAACCCTAATTATTCCCGAGAAACGCTCGAATCCATTTTCACTTACCCCAGCTGAGTCTCAGCAGTTGTGGATACAGCAGAATGGAAAAAAGCCCTCATATGATAGTGTCTCTAAATTTACCAGAAAGAAAGGAGCGGGGGTACTTGTCCTTTAAGTGTCTCTAAAGATGGTTTGCATAGCTGGATCTCAGCTTATCTATGCTTTTCTGCTTTTGCTTCCATACATGGATCTGTTCCCAACAGTAACTTTGAGCTGTCGAAAAGAAGCTATCTGGCAGCTTTCAGTTTCACCTGGCACATCAATGAGCAGAAATAAATAAATAACAATCTTTTCTGCTAGATCCCCTATTTGATTTGTACCCCTCTTTGTTTATTCCTTCTTTCTTCCTCCCTCCCTCCCTTCCTTTACCTCCCTTCCTCTCTTCCTTCCTTCCTCTCTTTTCTCTCCCCTTTTCCTTTTTTCTCTCTTTTTTTTTCTCCCCAGATTAAATTTTTTTTTGCTGTTATTTCCAAAGTGATTCTTAAGTGGGGGCAAGTAGAAATGACCAAAACAGATTTTTCTTCCCCCTTTCCTGCAAGCTCATGCACTTTATTCTCAGAAATATCTTTTTGTTGCTGTTGTTTTTTTGCTTTGCTTGTAGGTCAGGGTTTTGAATGTTTATTACTTGGAAGCATTTCAATGCAATATACATCATGTCTGCAGCAAGGGAAGGTTAAGAGTCAAATTTTTTGGAGAGAGGGATTATAGAAGAGCCACGTGACTGCTCCCAGATTAGCAGCAGTAGCAGGAGGAAGCATTCCTCTGATAATACAGTAACTACCATGGGACATGCCTGAAGCACCAAAGAGTGGAAGCTGTTGTTTGGAAGCTTCTTGAAGATGTGTTATGATTAAATTACTCCTCGTCCTCCTTCCCACCCCTCCAATCTCACCAGGTTTTTGTTTCAAGAAGAGCTGATACTCGACAAAACAATTTTTTTTTTTTTAACATGGGGAATACCATGCCACAGGTCAGAAAACCAATTATAGAAGGGCTGCTCTGAAAGTAATGCTTCTTATTTCATTATGTTGGCCCACAGCATCAAAGGCAGATGGCAGTTGTGTGGCATGGCAGTAGGGGCTGAACCTTCCCACCAATATCCCATTACATTTTGTTGCCATGTGACAGATGGCAGCAGAGGGGCAGTCTGACACAATGGCATCTGACATGGAAGTGTGTCTGGAGCAAAGGTGTGGAACTGAATTCCTCAGTGTAAAAAAAACAGCACCCACTGACATTCATCAACGCTTGCTTGAGATTTTTCCTAAATATCTGTTAAACACATGGCAGAATAAAAGTTTTTTAAGATCTCACCAGCTCCAGCCGTACAATTAGTGACAAACTGTAATTTTGTTATTACAAATTATCCAATCAAGAGATGCTTCTTCAAACAACTTATTATCTCCTGCTCTTTGGTGCATAAGAAACTGGGGGAAGGTGTATATTTTGATGCTGCTTCTGGGAGGTTTCTAGCATCTACTTGGCATCCTGTGCCCTGAGAGCACACTGCTGTGTCCCACATTGAGCAGCAGTTCTGTGTGGGTTGGATATACAAAACAGGCAGCAAAAGAACTCGTCTGCAGACAGTGAATGAGTACAAACTTGATGATCTTGAAGGCCTTTGCCAAACTAGATAATGGTTCTAAGATTCAGTGAAGGAGACCCTCCTGTTTGTGGCGTGCCAGCCAAATGATTAGTGCCTGTTGTATGAAGCAGTGGGAATCTGGAAATCCTTCCCAGGATTTCTTCAGCCTTTCAAGAAGAGCCAAGCTCATCTCAGGAGGGTGCTCAGGTGGGAATCCATGCCACTGATGCCTGTCAGACAAACCTGGTGACTCAGGAGAGAACCTCTTGTCCTATATTGCATGCATCAGTAAAGCCTTTGAGCTCCTGCTTAATTTAAAATATGCAAATAATACTTTTGACTTCCCTGGGGTTAGCCATGTCATCATTCTGTGCTTAATTTGGTTGTATAGAAGTGGAAATGAAGCTGTCACAAAGTGGCACAAAAAAAAAAAGAAAAAAAAAGGACCCAAACAAGAACTGACATTATCTGAGTTTCCCAGGTCTCTTGGCTGTGACTGTATTGCTCCAAAGAAGCTGTAGAGTTTACCAGAATGGGCTAAGAAAAGCAAGACTTTTGGCTTCAACTCATTTCAGAAGTGTCTTCTTCTCTGTAAAGGAAATGTTGAAACCCAGATGTGCACATAACTTAAGAAAAATGTACGTTGCTTCGGGTTCCTGCAAATAAGATGATGACACAGCCCTCAGGGTTTGGGGAACTGAAAGGTGAAAGGAGCAGGCAATTTTCTGGCTATGTCCTGCCCTTCAGCACAGCCGCTGTGTGTCATCGCCAGTATGAGTGACACCACCTGCTTTGAACTCAGCTCTCTACGCTGACTGGCCAAAGAGCTGCTCATATTTTCCATCAAGAGCTTTTCCATTTGTCCCCGGTGAGAGAGGTGAAGTTAGTGTCAGGGCATGCGGATGGTAAGAGGAAAGGTATTTTTCTAAAGCAAAATAAAAAAGATAGATAATAGTGTCACCATCTAGTCCAGGCAAGTCTGACCAATTGCCCATGACTTGCATGCAGCCTGGCCCAGCCCGCCCTGTGGCTGTCCCCTACCCCACACCATCATGGCAGCTCTGCCACACTGAGTGACCCAACCCAACCCAACCTCCTCCCAGCAACCACAGAGCAGTGTGCGATCGGCACGGGCTGAAACCAGCACACAGGGAGGGCAGAGTGTGGGGCTGAGTTGGTTATGGCAAATGGTTGTGTGCATTGTGATGTGTTTGCTAAACAGTGGCCTGTCAACAGCAAAAAATATGCAGCCATGCCTTGCTTTTTGATAAAGGGATTTGAGAACGGATTTCAAGATTGCTGAAATAAATGATGAACTTTTTTGTATATCTCGGCTCCATTTTCAGTCAGCATGAATACATTACCTGTGAATTTCCAAGTGGAATGCATAGAGTTGCAATCAGATATTCATCTCAGAAATCTGACTCTGTCTCTCTACCATGCCTTGATAAGCCCTCTCCTACCAGAGAGAGAAATACCCCCCCCTTCTCAGACACACCTTATCCGTGTCACCACTTTTGGGCAGCATGTACATTTGTGAACAACTGTTTTCAAGGCCTAAGCTCAGGAAGAGTAAAACATCATCAGAAATCTCTGACAAATACCTGGGAGTTCACTTAGAATTGCAACCACTGCCACTGAACCTGACTGATGCATCAGCGTGGCAAAACAAGGAGAAATATCCCACTAGTTTATGAAGAGCGGCTGCCATGATGGTGCAGGGCAGAGGGCGGGCTGGGCCTCATGTGGCCCATGGCTAGAACATGCTTGAGCTACCCAGCAGGCCACAAAGAAATGGAAATAAACACCTCAGCCTTTCATGCCCATTGACTCCTCTTGTCTTCCCTAAAACAAACAAAAGAGGAGGCGGAAAACCCATCTTTGGGGGTGAGACAGCAAATGACATCTGAGGCTGTGCCTGGCACAGCATCGGGCAGAACGGCAGGAACTCAGGGCTGGGAGCAGGGCTGGTGCCTGTGCCAGAGCAGGGTGGTCAGACCTCATCTACTGAGCCTGATCCCCCTATGGACACCTTCAGTCCCCAGTGCCAACCCTGCCTGTGCTGCAGTTTGAAGCGACCAAAGAGGCATTGAAGCCTCTCTTCTGAATATCAATGTGAGTTTCACAAGCGTGGTTTAAATATAGCTGCTTGCTTTCCTGGGAGACCCTGTAGCAGTATTCTTGCTGCAGCAAAAGCTGCACCATATGCCCAGCATTCACAGCCGTTTCCCAAAGACCGCCAGGGAGTTGTTATTCTGCATTTGGCTTGCATGCCATTCGAAATGAAAGGCTTGCTGGGGAGGAAGGCTGGAGGAACAGGCTGCAGCTGACGTCTTTCACACATTCAGATGTGCTGCTCAGGTGCGCTTATGCAGTGTTACGAGCTGCGAGAGCTGGATGCAGCTCTGAGCAACCTGATCTAACATGGAAGCCAGCCCAGCTCCAGGCAGGGGCTGGACCTCCAGAGGTCTCTCACCACTGAAATTATCCTCAACTCAACTTAGGATACAGTCATATGGCAGAGGAACAGAAAGGAAATCTGAATTTCTGGGTCATTTTCTGTCTTACCATTTATCTTACAAACCCTTCAAGCACGGTCCATGTCTCATCATACTCAGGGCTTGTCTCCAAAGTAACTTACTCCAAAAACTCCAAAGTGACCTTACTTCACTGCAAGTGAAAACCCACAATTCCCTCTTTTTTTTTTTTCTTAAAGCAAACTGATTAAAATGCAGTTGGGACCATGCCCAGGTAAAGTGCAAGAAAGTCGGGCAGCCATTCTTTCCCTGTGTTGAGTATGTAAAGCACTGCAAGTGAGCAAGTCTTTTTCGTTCGGGATAAGCAAAGATGCTTAAAACCTGGGGAGTGTCCAATTCTTAGCCATCATTAAGTGATAAATTAACCATCGTTAAGACATATATTACCATGCCTTCAGGACAAACTAATAGAAAAAAATGCTAATTAGTGCTGGTCAGAAATTTTCCAGTGGAACATTTTTCTGTCAGAAACTCCCCTGATTAGTTTAAATTGAACTTTCCAGAAGAATGTGTTGGTTTTGCTGAATCCCCACTGCAACACAGTGGACTGTAGTGGGATGGGAGTAGGGAAAGAGGGACTCCATCAAAACCATCGTGTTGACACCTTGCCAAATTATCTGCCTGACTGCAAGCCTTGTGGCAGCAGGAAGACCCGCAATTTGGGGCAGTCTGCAGCACAGAGTGCTGGCAGATGAACCCTGAATATTCCTGGTTCTTGTGTTGAGGGACTTGGAGATCACACCTGCAACCAGCAGCATGGTTAGGTGGTGTATGTAGCATTGCATGTTGGCTCTGCTCATGCCTGACTCCTTACTCCACTCCTGCTAAAGCCCTCCCAGCTCTCTGAATTTCCATGTTTTCCTCCCACAGAGCATGCCCCTGGAGCTGAGCACAAAAGAAGGGCTAAATGGGATCCTCTGGATCCTCAGACTGACAGAAGATGGCTCAAATGCTGATCAGAGTACTGCAGCAACCAGGACTGAGGATATCCTGAAT